GCTGAGCAGAGAGCCCAATGTAGGGCTCGATCCCAGGACCCTGGGATCATGACCTGAGCCAAAGGCAGAGGCTTAACCCACTGAGCCACCCAGACGCCCCAGGTCTCTATAATTTTAAGGAAAACACCACTGCCCTGTCTGTAACAATGCAACATCCTAGAACAGTGTCCACAGATGCACAATACAATCCTGCCGCTGGAGTATGAGGCACTGTCTTTAGTTGATAAAAATAAGAATGATCACTATTGTGTAGCTCAGACTTTCTCTATAAAGATAATAAAAAACATAGTGGGGGGACAAACACTTGGCCACAAAGAAGATGCACTCGGCCTGGGGTTTAAAGAGGATGGTTTCTCTAACCTTGATCCAGAAATTGCTTAAAATGACAGTTGAAAGCCTTTGAAATGCAGGCATGCCCGGCTTTTCCCTCTTCTCCAATAGAGAATGGGTCCAGAACACTAGTTAACAAGCCTGTATACCGCTGTGAACAGCAGCTACAAGCGAAGGGGCATCAGAAAAGAGGGGAGGACTCAACTCAGGCTCTAGGACCCCAGAAAGGAGGATGTCTTGCTGTGAGGGAACACCTTGGGTTACACAGTGTGAAGGAAGGAGAGAGAAAGCAAGAACAAACCGAACAATCTAAGTCTTCCTTAGATGATCTCTACTATCATCAACCAGTCCAAGTTTTCAGACATTTCCCAGAAAGTAGCTGGAATCTGGGATTGAGGGATAATTATAATAATTTTCAGGCCATTTCCCAGAAAGTAGCTGGAAACTGGGACTGAGGGACTTTGAAAAATAGATAACTGCCGGGCCTGGCCCTCTTCCCACGCTTTGGATAGGCACTGGTGCTACTGCCCATGGGATTACCAGGAGCTGGAAGCCCGGAGCCATAGCAGTAACATGCCAAGCGTGCTGGAGCGCTTACCCACCTGGCCTGCAGTCACCTGGCCTGGTGAAGACAACATACCTCTTTCCCAAATGCAAACACTTTAAGGTAAACCATTTTTCTCACTCAAGGAGGAAGTATGGAAATTTCTGTAGCAGATCTATAAAGGAACCTGCTGTCAACCCCCCACCTCCCCTTCTCCTCGTAATTTTGTTTTACTGAGATTGAAGGACAGGATGACAAAGCTGGAGTGATGGAAAAGGACACGATTACATTGAAACAGAAAAATAAACCAAAGGTATCCAAAGCACTTGTAAAAAGTAAGTTTGAAAAGTATTCCCATTGTTTAGGTGTACAGTAAATGCATTCTTGAAATTTTTTTGGAAAAGGAATCACTTTAAATGTACCCGAGAGACTGGTAATCTTAATACCCACTGCTAGGAACATATCTGTAAAGTACAGAATCTTATCAGAGAATTCACCGCAAAATCACTTTCCGTAGCCATGGCATACACAAATCCTTAGGGTGCACCTGAAGAGAAACAGACACACAGGAGACGAAGGGGCTGGCAAAGGGACTGTGCAAGAGGTGGAACAGGAGATAACCATCTGCACAGGTGATCTAGCCTAGTTACTGGTCTGAGGCCCAGGGGAGGTAGGTACACATGTCCTCTTTGGAACCTAAAAAGTTTCCTCCTCCCCGCAAAATAAAAACTGCTTTTCTTTTTCCTATTTAGCCAACTCTGCCAGTTCTAAGCCTGTCCCTCTCGTCTCTCCTCTCCAGGGCCTGCAGGCCTTCAGCTGTTGCTCACAGCCAAAGGTGAGGGAGATGGCCCGGAGCTGGTGTGGATCTCAGTTGAGACGGGCAGGTGTGCCAGAAAGCCCCGCAGCCGCTGAGGTGGAGACAGAAAGCTAGCCCTGGCCTCCCCTTTAGGAGCACACCTCCTGGCAAAGTGGCAACCGCATAAGACTCCTCTGAAGAGAGGGAGACAGGCGTGGGATAGGGGGCGGTGGGGGGCTGAGGGGGTGGTGGGGTGTGTGTGTGTGTGTGTGTGTGTGGCTAAAAGCACAAATGGCCTTCCGGAAGTATACCTGTAGCGCCACACTAAGGTTCCCAGGGCAGGGGGACAGAGAGGAGATGGGGGGGGGGGCGGCGGGAAAGCTAAGGCCACAGCACCGAGTGCCGCAGGTCTAGCTGCCCTAAACTCACTGCCTGCTCTGTGGATGAAGGAAAAGGCTTAACTAAGAAATGGCCCCTTGAATACAGAGGACTTCACTTTCTTTTATTCAGTTTAGATCTTTTTCCCCTCACCTTTTGTCTTTTTGTGATGAGAGAAAGGTACTTAAGGGCAGTTAGGGATCACAAAGAGGACCCCAAGACTGCTTGCTCAAGAAGCCACGTTCCCAGGACTGAGGTACTGTCTTAAGAACTTCACTGCGCCTCAAACCCTGGCTCAGTGACTTAGTTCAGTGCTGAACGTATTGAAATGAGTAAGAGCTTACAGACGACAATTTCAGCAGCATAGCTGACCAACGTCTACCACAGCACTGGTCAGCTTTTCCAGCTAGTGACACCAGCACACAGGTCATTAAAAATGTCTGACCCCAAGGATGATACGGTATCTGTCGAGTGCAGTGCTAACTTACCAAGTAGCTGGTCTATGTACGTGTTTGTGGGCTCAGTCGAGCGGAGACCTGTACAAAAAAATCTTCTGAAAGGTTTTTTTTTTTTTAAGTATTGCAGTAGACATTAAAAAAAAAAATCAGATCTTTTTGGGAACTTCCAATGTATTTTTTGCCTCAGTGTTATTTTTATTACCATCATTTTTTCATTGCTTAGAATTTTTTAAAAGATTTCATTTTGGCCCTGGGTAGATAAAAGGAAATTGCACTGCAAAATTTTAGGCCTTTAGTTGTGCTTCACCAGCACAGTTCACATCAGCACTGAGATACGTCTTTGGCAGTAACTTTCCAGATGCTTTTGGGAGCTTTTGAGAGAGCTGCAAAAAACAGAAGGAAAAAAACCCCACAACTATCAGAGGCAGGTGAAGCCATAGAGTCATGAGCTCCTGAACAGCATGGTCACCAGATGTGGGAATTACTTTTCAATAGTGCACTTAAAGACCAAGTATTCTCATTGTCTGCTGGAATTTAAGTCAAGAGGACAGCTTGCCTCCCACATCCCTTTTGGAAAGGGCAAAACTTTTGATCCTTATCAAACTGTGGGAGAAAACGAAGCTGTACTTCTTATTCATTTGCTAAAAACGATGGCAGACCCGATCACAAATGAAATGGATCCCCACCTAAAGTACTTCAGTGTCAACTGTTCCATTTATAGAATATCGATACTCAAAAAAGGTAACTAGTTGTCCCAATTAATTCCAAAACGATCACTAAAAAGTACAGAATTTTGAAAGGCTAATTAACAAGTAGAAGTGACACACAATTGGATGGAAGGCACGGAAAATTAAAGGCTTGAGTATTTCCCCATGCACAAAGCACCTGCTACTCTCCAAAGTACCGCTGACAGCCCTCCAAGCCCTCAGTTACCTACACCATCAACGACGACGACTTTCTCCATTCCCAACAGAACTGCTTTTTTGATTTTTTGGTCTCACGTTTTCCCTAAAGGCTATTCCCAGGTTTTATGCCCTAAGACGCTGCAGCAATGATGGATTTTTGGCCATAGTTTGTCTTATAACTTCATAATTGTGTAACTTTCTACCATAACTTACAGCCAACACATATTTTAACATACAGATAGGAAAAATTATTTACATACTTATAAAAACCAGTGGAAGAAAGGTTTATATGAGATGTAGGATTTGGAAAGGCAAGCCAGGGCTTTTACTGGGAGCTGAAGTGTAAACATTTTTTAGTTCCCCTAGATGTCTGGACTAATGTAACAGACTTCTTTGTTCCGAGCAACGACTTCTAATCTTAGATTTGTGAGACCCCTGGGTGTCTCTAGGTATCTCTGGAGGTGCTATAAAATTACCTCCTCAAAATGCCAAGTAAAATAATTCAAATTCACTTAAAAAACATGCCACCCATGTTTGGAGGCAAGGGAGGGTGTTCTGGAATCAAAAGAACAGTCATAAATATTACTAAAGCTTGATCCTTGTCAATTACATTTTAGTCTAAACCAACTGATGAATAAAGGAAATTGAGCAAGATGAAACAGTTCTGTGTGATTTTTGTGATTTGGGAAGACTGGGAAGGAGCTGGTTACTTGGGACAGTCTTTCTTCTGGAAAACCTTTTCTGACCTCTACATTTACTTACTAATGCCTGAATTAGCACTCACTGGCAACTGGGAACCTTGTTCCCAGCTCTTCACCCACTTGCACTGACACTGGTGCCTTAAAGTTGGTTTAAATGAACTCTATTAGGTATCAGTTTCTTTAAAACAAACAAACATACAAACAAGAATACAGACAGGCAGGGTTAGCTGAACTTACTTTTGTCAGTTTTCCCCCCGACTTCTTCATTAAATTGTTTTCCTGAGATTAGATACACGTTATACATCACTGCTCCACAATACCCAATTCTAAAATTGCTTAGTCATGACAAGGTTAATAACGAAAATACTCTGGGTTTGCCACTAGGAAGCTGGCCTATAGCCATTGTATTTTTACTACAGTTTCCAAATTTCCAATAAATTATGTTTCCTGATGGGCTATTGCCCCAGGTCTCAGAGCTTTCTCCAAACACCCAAGTGCGTCATCAGAAAAGTCAGAATATGGATTTAGAAACCAAAGTGACAAGAGTCACACCCAAAAAAGACATCACAGAAAAAAAAGTATAAATTTTCCCCTTAAACCAACTTGTTTTTTCACAGCAACTCAACTTGTGTTTAATTTTCCGTATCACTGCTTAAACTTAGACCCACATTTTACATAAGCCCTAAGATTCCAGTGAGAAATCTTTTACTAAATAATTTTCATTTAATCCTCCATTCACCCTGTTAACTGTTTGCCAAAAACAAGAAAAAGTTCCTTTTAAACTAGGTCTTCTGTATCATACTTCAAGAATTGTCCAAAGGAAAAAAAAATTGTCTTAAGAATCAAACACCTTCAAGTTACAAGTCAGAAGGAAAAAAGTATACTTACTTTATTTGTAGCAGTAGCACTGGATCCAGGGACCACAGGCACATTAGTCACTTGAACTGAAAGATAATTATTATCTATGAGTGGCCAGGCTCCTTCCACTTTGCACGTCTGAAAATGATCCTTGAAAGTTCTAAGGTGAGGATCTCCGAACAAGCCACAAAAAAGGTAACCAGGAGGGTTCAGATCCCCTCCCCCGTGTTCTCTGGCTCCTGCGTGGCTGTGATAGTTACAAGGGTCATGGGTCACTTCAGGGTTGGTAGAGGATGTGGGTCCGTCCTTAGAACAATTCCTCTGGCTCATGAGGTCACTGATACCCAACACAGCAGAATGGTATACCAGGTTACCACGGCAGGCTTTTGAAGTTCGCTGGGTGCAGCCAGCATAGGCACGCAGAGCCTTGCAAAACTCAGAGTCAAAGCCGTCAATGGCAGAGTTCAGGTGCGAAGTCAGGGCCACAAAGTCCGTGGTACATTTCTGGATTCGACATTGGGCCGGCTGTTGGCAGTCACCTATAAGAAAGAAGATAAGACCCAACATTTTTTTGAATGCTTTGCAACTTCCTGAGCTTCATGGGAAAATGACATCCTCCTTTGGAAACCGTTTGTTCCATTTCGTATCCTCCTATTTTAAGAAGGCCTTCAGAAATAGGGTTGCATTGTGAGAGGTTGCATCTCTCACAAATTCAGCCACCGGGAAAAACTGCATGCAATCAGTTACCTTAAAACTTGAAATCATGAGCTGTTGTGAGTGAACACGAGTCTGGCCCAGTATTCTTACATGAAAATTATAAGGGAATGGCTAAATGGAGTACCTTTTCACCCCTGCTATTGTTCACAGATTTTGAGAAAGATTCCTTTGCTCTAAGGCCAAGCCAAAGATGTGAACTTTGTTTTGATTTTGGAAAGGGCATAAGTCATTTGCTTTGGAAAGCATAGCGTCTATGCACAAAACCACAATTAAGGCTCCACGCCTCAGGTTGGGACCCCTAAATTATAGCATGATTAGTTAAAACCCCTTTACCTGACTCTAGTACAGCTACAGGGTAACAAGAAAAAATCCAGGTACTAAGTTATTCTGTATTTCCTTAGGGGTGTCTATTAAGGAACTGTACATAAACTGACAATCTCCTGGGTGCTATGAAATCTGTTTTCTTAAAAAAATAGAGTGACTCATTGGATCAAGCTGTGTATTTACTTCTCCCTTAACATCCATCACTACTGGGTCCCAGATCACAAGCAGGTCATCAGGAAAGGTACACTAAATCAAAAAGGACACCAGATTGAAATTATACTGCAAGGACAGCTGATTCCACCAACTGTTTTATTAGAAAGAGAACCAGGGGGGCGCCTGGGTGGCTCAGTGGGTTAAAGCCTCTGCCTTCGGATCAGGTCATGACCCCAGAGTCCCGGGATCCAGCCACACATAGGGCTCTCTGCTCAGCAGGGAGCCTGCTTCTTCCTCTCTCTCTCTCTCTCTCTCTCTCTACTTGTGATCTCTGTCTGTCAAATAAATAAATAAAATCTAAAAATAAAAAAAGGAAAGAGAACCAGGGAACTACAGCACACAGAATTCTTAGAGAATATATAAATGACTTCTTTCCTTAAGTCAACAGTTCAGATACACCTAATGATTAAAGCAAAGCTAAAATAAAAAAAAAAAAAAAAAAAACAACCCAACTCCAACTGCCTTACTTTTTAAAAAAGTCAATTTTCAAATTATGTTTTGCCACTAGCTCCTCATATAAAAAAATTAAGAGGCGCCTGGGTGGCTCAGCTGGTTGAACACCCAACTCTTGATTTCAGCTCAGGTGAGGATCTCACCATCTTGGGATTGAGCTCCATGCCCAGCTCACTGTGAAGTCTGCTAGTCCCTCTTCCTCTGCTCCTCCTGCCTGCCTCCCTCCACCACCTCTGCCCCACCACATGCACACACTCTCTCTCAAAAAAAATAAAATCTTTTTAAAAAAATTAAAAACCTCTCAAAGCATAAAAAGATACAAGAATTGCCAATACTAGGTCAGTTGTGTGCGCCAGTTTTATATTCTGATCCATAAACTGGGAATGCTAGAATTACTGAAAAGGAAAATACTTTTCCTAAACATCCACCTCAAGTTTTATACAAACTAATTTTAACACGTACTTTGTGTTACTTAAACATTCTTTTTAGGTCTCTGAACTGGAGAAACTTTCCATACTTTCAAGTCTTAGACTCCTCAGCTCAGAAATGAGAGGAGGTTGTTTTTGTGATTTGCCCCAGGCATAAAATATTTTATAATTCTTATTCTAGGTGACGGGAAAAAAAGAGTATATATTAAATATGTAATTATTTTAAGATGTGGGCATAAATTTCAGGATAGTATCAAGATTTAGGACTTCAGCTGATGAAGACTTAAAACTAACCCTAGTATCATTTTAGAAAAATACTTTAATCTTTCCAGTATTAAGGTGCTTTTAAACCTGAATGGAATAACCTGTAATCTCTGTTTCTGGCTTGAGTTAAGCAGAAAAGACTGGGGGATGACAACCTCTCAAGCCACCTCTCCCACTGTTTTTACATTTCAAAGACCAAGAAGGGAAAAATGTAGTCTAGATTGAGCTTTAATGTGAGTTAAAAAAAAAAAAAAAAAAATTACTGTTTTGGCGCTATGGACTTACAGCTATCACTAAATCACATTAAAAAAAAAATCACAAAAACACCTTCATGTGTTTGGCCTATCTCATGTTGGCTCATTCTAGAGTTGACAAAAGCAGCTCCTATATTTACAGAATTCTTCTCTCCAAAGTAGATCAAGTCCTTTTCAACCGTTTGACTTAAAAAACCAAAACCAACCAACAACCTCAAAGGCATTAAAGCCATTTTACATATTGGAAAAATCAAGACAAAGGGATATTAAAAGCCTTGTCGTGGCTGGATCATAAATAGCTAGAACAAAGTCCAGGATAAAGTGCCTTTCCTCAAATCTTTTCCTTCCTCAGGTCACAAATGCTCTAAATTCCTGACTCTCACAACAATAGCTGATAACTTAAAGAAAAGACAACTCTTCTATTATTTTTTTTTCTTCTTAAATAAGATTTCACAGCAAGTAGAAAGCAAGGAAATAAAAACTGGGCCAAGATCAGTCAGTAAGAACAGCTCCTAGACTATGAATAAATGACAGGACAGGAACTTTCCGCTAAACTTGCAATGCCTATTTGTTCTTTTTATGGTCTATAAAATCTATCCGAGCATACATTTACTTATAATTATTTTAAATAGTCATAAAATATCCAAAGTAAGAAGAGCATGAGATGCAGATGTAACTGTTTGGAAGAGAAGTAGAATATAGATTCCCACCTCCTTTTCCTTCCTTGTCCTCCTCCCCTCTCCCTTTTTCCCAGCAGGCAGGTGCCAGTTCTTTTGAGAAATGTCACATCAAACAGAACTCCTTGTGTTCTTTCGCGTGGGATGCGCTTTCCGACAGCCTTTTCAAATAGAGATGGTGGGAAAAGAGGAGGACAAACTAGAGAGTGCATCTGGGTCAGCAGTTTCGGTCCATCACAGGCTCCTGTATAATGACTAATTCGCAGCATACACCCAGAAATATCCAGGCTTCATGAATTTATAATGACAGCGCACACTTTGCCTGTTACAGGCGGTAAAGTAAGCTTCCTGTCAAGATGCCAAGACAATGCAGAGCAGAAACAATCTCAAGGATGTAGCCAACAAAGCCATGAAGAGTATGAGTAAGCAAGTAACTCCCATATTGCATCTCCATTCAGGAATTGTAGGGATTTGCTTAAAGTGGATGTGGGGTGGGGGGGAATGAAAGGACTTTTTTTATTTCCTAGGGCAGAAAACAAAATCTGCTGTTACAGATGTCTCCATTTTTCAAGTCAGATGATCAATGATTGGTGTGATAGTGTTTTCATTCCAGTTAATGAAAGTGCTAAAGGATTTGTGGGTCTACAGCTTTCGTTAATGATTCAAAGATCTCACCATTCAAGACCATTTCCTTGAGGCCAGGACTGCACGAGTGAATGTGCAGCACAATCACCAGTTTATAATAAAAAAGATATGCTGAAGCTGAATTAAGTGAAACGCAGGGCCATATGGGGTGCTGAGGCAAATTATAATGGATCCGGGCATAAAACATATGGTAGCCCATCTGCAAAGAGCACTCCACTAGGCTCTCTGAAGAGAAACAATCTTTGCATTTCAATACCAACACTCTTCAAAGAAATCTTTCAAAAAAGGAGCCTTTTTTAACCAAATTAATCATTCCACCCCAACAAGCTGTCCACAGGTATCACTCACCATGGAAACTCTAGGTAGAATCCAATGGTGACTTTAGTGAAGACCCACGAAGATACTGAGAGGAGTTTCACATCCCAAGTTCTTGAAATAAGGCAGCTTACATTAAACATTGTAACAACTTAAGTTTTTCATTACTGGCCAGAAAAGAAATTTTCAAGGACCACATCCCAATTTTGTCTTAGAACCCTCTGACAAGGAAGGGAAACAATATCCAAGCAGTCATGAGGGACACACAGTCCTAAAGAATACTTCAATTTCCATTTCAAGAAACATACACTTTGACATTAAGAAGACAGATTCTTCACACAAAACACTCCTGAATGTAGCTTTTGACACATGATTAAAAATTTCCATGTGACCATAAACAGGTTGACATTACTAAGATTCTAAAGTCACTCATTTAAAACCTTAATCACTGTAAGGTTTATCACTTACTATCACTTACTTAATCACTTACTATCACACCCTATGTTTCCCCAAGTGAGTGTTAAAACGCAGCTGTTCCATCACAATGCAAAGTTAGGAAAAGTAAATTAAGTCTCCTCGAATGCCACATTTTTTCCCCATTACTTAAAATACCTCCCAGATTTTTAGCAAGGCTGCTATGACTTAATAAATAAATACAACTCCACACAGTTGGGAGGCATTACAGTTCAGGATTCTCCAGATCAGAGCGCGTTGAGATTGCGGTCATAAAATACAGGACAAAAAAAGTCTCCAAGAAAAACTTATCTCATGCTCTAGTTGTTCTCAAAACAGAATTTATCTTTCAGTCTGACACTAAATAAATTCTTTAGACAAACTCCTAGACGTGGTCCTTACCTATAAAGAACGTCCTAAATATCCCCCCCCCCCGGCTTTATTGAGATACAGCTCACATAGAACATTGTGTTAATGCAACTTATTTCACAAGAAAAATAAGTACCACCTGCTAGAAGGCTCGTCTGCAGGCCTACTTCGGTAAGAACAGACAACTCACTCTTGCTTCTACAGGGGAAGCGCCGACCTCCAGAAAGCCTTGTGAGATCTGTCAACCCCTCCTGGAACCCGAAAACACGCGGCGAGCCACAAAGCACTAGTTTCCCCAAAGAGGGTGAAAGCTGAATTAAAAGCAGCTTTCGCAAATACGAAACAAATTCCTGTTTTAAAAAGTTACTTCGAGATTAACCCCCAGGTTTTCAAATTCCGGTGAAAATCTCTACACGTGAGGCGATTTCTCCCCCTCATCGCCACCCCCAATTCCAGAGAAGCAGCACAAGGCTCCCTGTCTCCCCTCGAAGGGGGCGGCGGCGGCGGAAACCTGATCCCAGCCTGACTTTCAGTAAACACCAAGACAGTGAGCAATAAAGCACCCGGAACATTTGTCCCGGGGGCTCAGCCCCCGCCGCCCCCGCGCTCTAAATCTTTGATAAGCGGCTGTTGGGAAGGAGATTTACCAACGGTCCCAGTCGAAGGCGGGGAAACTGGAGGGAGGGAAAGAGGCCTCTCCACTGCGCCCTGGGCGCGCCGCTCAACCCCGCGGGTGTGTCCTGCCGCTGCGCCCCGAGCCCGGCAAAGGTGCAGGTCTGGAGCCCGTGAGGCCTCTCCTGTCTCGCCACGCCACGCCGCCCTTCTGCCCCAACGTGTGCCTTCAGGACCGGGGTGTTTGGGAACAAAGCACTCGGCCCTGGGCTGGCTCCCCTCGCGCGCGCGCCTCATACCTGCGTGGAGCAGCCCGAGGCTGAGAAGTAGCAGCAGCAGCAACGCCAGGGGCGGCGGGTAGAGCTGGGGGGGGCGGCGCTGCTCAGCCCCGGCGGCAGCAGCGGAGGCGGCGGCAGCGGCGCAGGAAGGTGCTGCTCTCAAGCCCATGCCCGTCCATGCAGGTCTCGTGGGCTCTGGCGAGGGCGGCGGCGCGGGCGCCGTGTCGGGTTCGTGCCCGTGGCCGTGGCCGTGGCTGCGGCATGGACTGGGGGACGCTCCTCGCTTCCTCTTCTTCCTCCTTCACGCCCGCGTCGGATACCGGCCGCCGCCACCGCCGCAGCGAAAAGCGCGCCGCGGGCGGAGCGAGGCGGCGGCGGCGGCGGCAACGGGGCGCAGCGGCATCGCGGCAGCCGGAGGCGGCGGGCGGGGCAGAGGGGGCGGGAGAAAAGACACAAAGACGGTGAGCTTAGCGCCGAGCCCGGCCCCAAAAGCGCGGGCGCCCGGGTCCCGGCCAGCGTGGGCTCAGCGGGCGTGGACCCACCGGAGGCGCGCCCAGCCCTAACCAGAAGCCCCTGGCAGCCCGGATATCTCTGCGCGGCGGACCTGCGGTCAATCTCAGCCCCGCACTGCCGCCCCGCCCTCCCTACATTCGCCAATCCACGTCGTCCCCACCCCCCGGCCTAGCCACTCCCTCCCACCCCATTGGCTGTAAGCGCGGGACCTCTGGGCCCAGCCTGCCACTCACAGGACCCAAAGCGCCCGCCCCCCGCACCTCCTCCCGCCTTCAGCGTGCTCATTGTAATTCGAGTTCCGCGTCCGCTGGCTGAGAGTCCGGTCCGCCGCGCCCGGGCTCAACCTCCCTCCTGCTCCCTCCTTTCCCCTTTCCGCGATCTACTGTTTCCTCGTGCCGGACCAGAAACTGCCGACGGCAACTCTCTTGTCGGCGTAACAAAAGCACCCGGCTTTTGACTTCCCTTTAATTAATGTTGATTGGGTTTAACTTCCCCTGAAGGTTTTTTGGGGCGTTGGGGTGTGTGTGTGTGTGTTTTAAATCACCCCCACTCTGTCCCTCCGGCTCCTGCCTGAGAGGAAGTGGGCGCTTTTACCCGGAGCGGTGCGGCAGGTCCCTTCGCAGCCAATCACATCTGCGGAACCGCGTTCCGAGCCTTTTCGGACGTTTTGTAAAGCTAGCACCCAGAGGCGTTGGAAATCCGAACGTGACCTGCGGTCCGGAACAGATCGGATGGGCTGGGAAGGTACCCACCAGCTCCCGGCGGAATTCGCGGGCAGCTGTGCGAGGCTCTGGCGTTATTGTTCCTCTGACATTTCCCTTCCTGAAAGCAACGGGGAGGAGTCTGAGAGTGGGCGAACTTCAACGTGTTCGGTTACAATGTAATTAGATTAATGAGGATAGTGAGTTTTTAATGCAGTGTGGAGTAATTACGCCATCGTTTCTTGTTGCTCGGTGGCTTTTCCACGAATTTTCTTAGTCTATTAGCATATTAATTCAATGGCAGGTCACTTTCTACTTTTGTCACTTGGATAGATCCAAAAATGAGGGGGAAAGACACAATCGTGTGCCAGGAAAAGAGGTTGCCAAATCTTGTCACAGGAAAGCAGGTTGTGAGGTTGATGATAGGTTCCAATTTGTTATCAGTAGGTGTGAAGTGGTATCTAATCTAAAGAATGGCTTCAAAGGTTAGGAGCTACTCTCACTGTCCTTGCCTTTGCCATTCCTCCAAGGGACTCGGGGTTGCCGTTTTAAATTCACTTATACCCAAATTGCAGTTTGCAACCGTACCGGTTCACTATTCATAATCTCTAATTAGCAATTTCGTATCAACCACCGACACGTTAATACTCCACATGTAACAATGTGCTAATCAATGGACTAGGATAATTGAGGGCAACCCTTCGATCACTCCGGCTTACTCATTAGACACATTATGAACTGTACAAACCACTAGGTCCCTAATGAAGGATGTCTATCTATTTTTACTGTAACTTTTCATTACTTACCTATTACATACTATGATGACTCAAGTGGTAAACACACCTTTCACTGCCCAAGATATAATCCAAACCTTGTGTATATCCATAATATGCTTAATAATAGCTTCAGAGTTGCCTGGAGAAATGACTTTTCACAGGCGGAGTTATCTGATAATGATTTTTAGATAGTATTGTGGAGTAAATACTATGAGACCAAAAATTTATTCTCTTGCAATTATTACATGAAATACGTGAACTGAAATTAGTGAAATGCTGGTAAACATCTTTTAAAAGAAACCAAATCTGAGCAGTTTTTCAAAGTATTTTTCTAACAAAGACTAACAATAAGATGTTTCTTTTCCCTTAACCCAAGATTTAATTCGACCCCTATGAAAGAAGCATGCCACTTTATTGATCATACTTCAAAACACATAACCGAAAGTTAAGGATCAAATTCAGTTTAGATGGGGTTTTTTCGCTATCATTACTTTCACTGATTTCTCCCCCTGCCACTTCTCCCCCACCTCCTTATCCTTTTCTTAAACACACAGTGCTCTAAATTATTTTATCAATAGAGGGCATCCTCGAGCCACTACAAATTCTTGTATAGAAATGGAACTGTATTTCAGAGGGAAAACTTCATTTTTTTCTAAGGTGCTTTATTGCTCATCTGTTGTAAAATTTGACAAGCCCAAGATTTATAAGGCTAACAATTCATTTTTTATTACCACATAAGTGTTCAACCTGCTTGAGTAAAATGTTAATTTTCACAATTAAACCGCAAGGTGGTTCCTGTTTTCAAGTCTTTAGGTCAGTTGACATACTCGCAGGGTAAATTCGGACTGTTAGCAAGATCCCGAATGGGCTTGGAAAGCAAGAGCGTGGTGAATGGTCGCTTATAGCGCATCCATTCCTCCAGCTCGAATACCATAAGTTAAGCAGGATTTTAAGATTCTGTAAAGAAAAATCTGGGGATTTTCCTCCCATAAAGTCAATGACTTATAGAAGTCTAACATCTTAATCAGAAAAAAAAAAAATCATGACGTGACAGCTTGCACAACTCACACACCCACCCTATTTCTTGTCACTTGTACTCTTTCTCTCTTCATCTTTGTTTTCAGGAAGGAAAGATGAGACCAGAACAGCACAATTAGAGGACACAGCAAAGCATCCCATGGTATGAACGTGTAAGTGAATAGAATTAAAACACATGCCAGCAACATGAACGGATTCTGAATAAGAATTAGAAGTTTCTTTTCCTGAACCTATACACGCTGTCTTAACTATTCCCCTGTTGATTTATCTCCATTTCCAGACATCTAACACGAGGGGCTCACCTAGGACAGAGGAGCTAGGGAGCTGACCGCGATAACGATTTGTGCAACCCATTCTAGAGTAAGCCCCCCCCCCACCCCCGCCCTGCTCTCTAGTCCAGGGTGACCGCAAAGCGGGGGCTGAAATAGCCCGGAGTCCGACAGCCCAGCAGCAAGCAGCTAGTGGATTGTACTTACATCATTCTTAACCCTTCCGATCCTGCAGGGGGCTTGACGGGATCAGGGGGCCCCCGAGCTCTGGAGCACGCAGGACCTGGGTGTGAGAGAAGACCCCAGAGCCTGGCGTGAGTGCTGCGCCCCCGGAAGGAGGGGGCCCGGGGCGTGAGTGGGGCTCATCACCCGAGAGTACACAGCCGGCGCCCACGATCCCTGCGGGCTCTGCAGCGGATCACACCGCTCAAAGCGGCAGGTGCAAAAAGCATTTGGGAGCCTCTTGCCAGCGCGCGGAGGTAATGCGCTTCCTGTCCATTTATCTCAGGAAACCAGCGCAGCCTTCTCTTCCAAACAAAATTAACCTCTCATTAGCCAGCCACTGACTCCCGAGAAGACCTTAAAAGCTTTACCAGCTCGCTAATGTATTTAGGCTTTTCTTCCAGGCAAACGGGGCCGCGGTGGTGACTGTCATCAGCCCTGGGGGGGTTCCTCTGGGTTCCCCTGGGAGCCAACCGCTTACCTTCCTTCCCGCCCCCGCCCCCAGCCTCAAGTCTAGGAAACTTTGGCCAATCTGGATCCCAGTTTGTGGTACTCCGCAGACCCGACACGCCTGAACGGACTTCACACCACAAGTCGCCAAAACAAGTTCCCACTAGTTTCAAGAGCGCCCCTCATATCAAATACTCAGCTCGCCTATCTTCAAGAAATGGGGAAGGGTACCCTGGAGGTACTTCTATGGACAGCTGTCCCTGGGTCATAGGCACTGTCCTTTACAGCGCCAGCCGTTTACGCAGCAGGGACGGGAAGCAATGATCCGAGGTACGGGGAGTAGTGTCAGCTAGGATCTAGCCGATTCCAGGAGTGGAGAATCAAATGTGGTTCTAGGTCTGCAAGAGAAGCCTTTTGGAGCGCTGGGGTGTTCTCACCCTGGCCTCCCGCCGCCCTGAGGCTGGCAGATTTATACCACACAGGTGGACCAAGACCTAAACAAAACAGTCCGGGCCTCTGCCGCCTGCTCGCCCCCCACGTCCCCCTTGGCCCACCGCAAACTTCGACAAAATAAACAACTCACCACAGGCATTCCCTTGTCTGCAGCGCGACGCTTGCCAGCTGGGAAAATAAGCCGCAAGCCACGCGGCGGGGGCGCAGAGGGAGGGCAGCGCGGCGCCCGCCTCTCTCCCCCAGGTGGGGGCAGCGATACCCAGGGGCAGGACGGAGGCTCCGCCTTGGGGGCCGCTTTCTCGCCTCCCTGACTGCTGAGTGAGCGCCGGGCGAGGGGCTGCGCCCTTCCAGCCAGCGCGATCTCTCGGCCACCCAGGGAAGGGGGCGGGGAGGCAAATCACTCAGTTCCCTCCCGCGTTCTCGAAGTGTCTTTCTCTCGCCTTAGGTCTCAAAGAAGACCAAGCCTAGGGGCCTTCACCCCACCCCCTCCAGCCCCACACCGCCCCCTGTCGGCACTACCCGGATCTTTCCGGCGCCGCCGAAGAGCGGCGGAGACCGGCGTCCCAGAGTCCCAGCCTCCGGGTCCCCGCTCTGCTCTCTCCATGCTCACCGCCTCCTTACCAAGTCCCGCACAAAGAGGCCTTTCACGCTGCCAGCGCCACCCTCCGCGCCGCCCTCCACCCCGCCGCGTTGCCTTTGCCCACCCGCAGGACCAGCCGATTCCCGGTTGGTGATCGTGCCAGCCGTCTTGGGGCAGGCCCGCCGCGGACGCGTGCAGGCTGTTCTCGCTCCGCGCCTTAGCAGAGGCACAGATGGAGTCCCCCGCCCGCCTTTCCACGATTTTCATCAGCTGTGCACCAGCAGCCACAAAAATGCACCCCTTCTTCTACATAAATGATCTCTGAGGGTCTCCCGAGTGTCTATAAATGGTGGGTGTTTGTGGCGGGGCCCGGGAGGGGGTTGGCGTAGTGGCGGACATGGTCTCTGGACTTTGGCTGAAATGAATCCAGCGACCTATCCTGTCCACCCAAGGTGCCAATGTGATGTTTCAGCATACGAAAGCCCAGGATAACGATTTGTGAATTGTGATGGGGGGAGAGAGAGAGTTGAAAAGACGTCCAAGACCCAGGTGAGGAAGTAGGTTATAAAGAACAAGTCCACGAAATGTTCGGGGAACGACAGTCACTTGATTCAGAGTAGAAGATGTGGAGAGCAAGAAGGAAGGGATTAACTTTCTTCCCCTAGTTAAAAGTAAGCATCACAGGTATTCAGAGGTAGCTATTGTTCTGTGCCTTCAATGCTAGGACGAGCAGGGTGCTTTCTTTTTTATTTTATTTCATTTTTTTGTCCAGGGAAAGGTTGCAGCATCTTGACTTAGGGATTCCACTTTTTTTTTTTTTTAACCTCCTTAGAAATATCTTTGACCCTCTCCAGCTTTGCTTCTCTTCTCCTATCCCCACTCTTCCTTACAATTTTTTGATCTAACGCTAGAGGCAGCATAGGGCAGCATAAAGAGGACAAAGTGGAAATCCAGAGAGGAGGGTCTTGACCTGACTTTCTGAGTGGGACTCTTGGGCAACTGATTTAATGTCTTTGAACTAGAGGTCACTATCAAGAAAGTGTGTGTTAGGGGCAGTGGTTTGGTTCCTTCTGGTTCTGAAATTAGGTCACAAGGGAAGCCTTCTCACACCTACTGATCCCCCCTTTTTAAACAAAGATTTTATTTATTTATTTGACAGGCAGAGATTACAAGTAGGCAGAGGTGGGGGGGAGCCTCCCTACTGAGCAGAGAGCCAGATGTGGGGCTGGATCCCAAGACCCTGGGATCATGACCTGAGCCAATGGCAGAGGCTTTAACCCACTGAGCTACCCAGGCACCCCCGGATTCCCTTTTAAAGTGTTTTCTCACCTTGCTTTATCCTCTCAGTGCCGATCAAATTGGAAAAAAAAAATACTGGGGATATTTTAAGATAAATGTAAGATACATTGAAAAATCGTGTTCTTGATACTTAGAATTAAACAAACAAACAATCCTAAACAAAAATAAAAGTCCCTCAGCTCCAGGTCCAGAGAAACAAGGAATTTCAATGTCCCCACTTGCTTTGCCTTTGAAAAGCCACACCAGCAATCAGCAGAGCAGAGCTTTGATTCAGAATCTAAAGGCCAGTCTTATGTTTTTCTTTTTCATTTTTCCTTCTACCAACACAAAGACAAGCTGACACATAAATAAGTGGTGAACAAGAGTTCAAAGCAAGCTTTGTGATCTATTTCCTACCTAATGCAGACCTAGTCCCTCCCTACTTCTCTGCTCAAGCGGTCTGGATGGCACGGAAACAGTAGGCACAAGCTGGCAGAATCCTCTTCCCACCCTTCCTTTCCCAGAAATATTGGGCAGTGGAACCTGGATGCTCACTTGTCAATCATCATGTAAATGCATTCATTAAATCAATACATTCACCTTTTCCTTAGCCTCCTGATACTTTCCAGGATTTTCAATTCACTATCCACTTTGGAACTTTGAGGCTTAGTTCTCCCTCTAGGCAACCCCGGGCTGTTTTCTGTGGTATCTTTTCTGAAACCAAGACAAAAAAGGGTGAAATTTCACAATCAAGTATTAATTCTTAAATTACAAATCTCTTGCTTCTTCAATTTCAACCAAAATTTCAAAATTGCTTAGCTTTCATAGCAATGCACACTTTAAAAAAGTATCCATTAAAGAGTACACTTTCATTGGGGGGAAAAAGCTTCTTTAACAATAGTGGTGGGAAAATATTTTGTGCTTATCTATTATGGTTTCTTTCATTTGTTTTGAATGGGACCCACCCACGGTCCCATTCATACACGCTACAAACTACTATATTCCTAATTGGACTTTGGATGTTCCATTAGTAAAAGGACATAGTTTATTTTTTCTCCCCAAATTTTTTATCTTGCTTAATGCTCTACTATTTTTTCTCTTATCTTACCTGAATCTTTCTTTTTTTCTCATACCAACCAGTATAAGCCAAAGATGGGAATAGAAAAGGGACAGGAAGTCACTTTTCGGTAGAACCGACTGAGCATTTGTCTGTTGACTGTTAAGAGACCTGAAGATGCACTGTGTCTTTGCACCATCTTCTGAATTTCCACTTAAATGTGATAGAGCTTCAGCTTTTAAAATGTTCAGCTAATGTATACATCAAACTCTCCAGTTGTTAAGATCATACATAGTTTGCTTACTTTTGATGTTTCTAAATTTTTCCTTTTGCAATTTGGGGGCGTCATCTCAATTATCTTGTAGCATATGAATCTGTTTCCTAGTGTTTCTTGTTTTGGTTTTCCTGTATATTTTGTTGAAATTCTTCTCTAGCTTCAGATTGATTCTCAATTTGACAATTCCTTTATGTACTTATAATGTTTGAGAATTATTATTATTGCTAATAAATTATACTATTTTAAATATTAACAGTACTAATAAGATTGTAAGAAAGAGAACATTTATAAAATAATGCTAGGAGAAATACTGCTTTCTACATGTGATTAAGAAAAATAGTTTATTTAGATAAACATTATTGAAGTTCATCAAGACCTGTTTTGTTTGAGAGGATTGTTGTTTAAATTGAGTAACCACGTAAAGGATCCAAGACCTGCTTCTGCTTTTAAAAGGATGAGAATTTGCTGTGCTTTTTCCCTCTATACAAAGATGTAAGATCACTGACTCGAACCATCAGCTCATATGATAGTGAAGGTAAAGAATTTCTGGTAAATTGCAAACTAAAAAAAAAAATGAAACCTCTAGATACAGAGCTATTGAACAAAGAAAACAAACAAATAAATGAAATAATATCAAAACATGACACTGTTTCATTCTGTCAGCAATGTAAGTCTAATTTTCTAGAGAAATCCTGCACTACTAAAATATCCCTGCATATGTATATAATAAAATAGGTAAATGAAGGTATATTAAATTAATAAAGTCAATATTCATGAAAAAATATGATTTAAAAAATGGACCATAATCTCCTTCAAGTGTCAGGAGAAAAGCCATATTTTTTTGCCTGTGTGCTATTAGAAAATCTTTTGTCATGAACCTTTCAGCCATTCAACACAGTGCAAAAGAGTAGAACATGAAACTGCAGGGACTGGCCTTTTCCCTATTGTATTTGTTGATTATTTCAATTGTAGTCATTATACACACAGACTATCTTTTCTAGATCTTGTAATATAAGGTTTAAGAGGCAAAGTATATATCCACTCTTATATTATATTTGCTCTATAAAAAATAAACTTCCAGAAGTTGGAAAATTACCTTTTTAGAGACGTAAATAAATGCACCATTATTCTTCTGTGAACCAGTTTAGACCTACTACGGTAATTTATAATTTCTTTTAGAGGCAGAATCTCTATCCAGACACTCACTTGTATGCACAGTGGCAAGAACATAATAAAAACATTACAGAATGGAATATACTGCAATCCTTGAAATTCCATGAAATCTAAGATATATGGGAAATTGGATACCTCTATTCTAATAGTCAACACTACCAATTAAGAATTTTAGTTGCTGTTTTAATATAATAAATGATTATGTTTATACTTTATCAATGCTAGAGAAAATTCCAAAAATATACATTTTAACTCAATTTAATAAATTGGAACAGTATTGGGACCAAAGGAATCTGTTCAAATAATCACAAGTATAAAAATAATAAGTCTTCTCTTCCTTCTTTTCTCATATTTCATCATCCCATCATTTCAAATCATCCAAGCTGTATCAGAGGCTCAGGTAGTGTTTGTGCCAGAAGCAAGTCTAGACTCAAGCCTGAGAATGAATTCAGGGATGAAAACTGCGTGTTTATCAGAAGCTTGAGTGAAATAAATCTGGCTGAATTCAGGAGTGGGGTTTGTTTCAAAAGAAGAGGATAGTTTAGGAGTCGGAAAGGATCATCGGAGGTCAGTTTCTTGCTGTTGAGTAGTCAATGTGTGCTTCAGCTGTCTCAGTTGGGACTGTCCATCAACAAAGAATGTGAGGAATGGATGAGTGATGGAGGAATCTATGTGAACTGGATGAAGCTTCCCTTTTCCCTGTGCCCTGGGGGCAGGGTCCATGGGGGAGAGGGGATGCATACCCCAGACCTCCTGGTAAGCAGTCAGTATCCGGGATACTTGCTCCTTATTAAAGACAGGATCTGATACTGACTAGATAAATCCTTTCTAATTCTTTCATTAAGTGACTGATTTATGAACACTCACTAATGA